TAAGAGTTTAGACTTTAGAGCAAGGTTGTTAAACTCACAATTTTTAGTAACTCATGACAATAATATAAATTCGTATTGCAAATTTGTAAGAGTTTATCTTTATTAACAAATAGTCATTAAAATATGATCATAATTTAATTTAAATATATTAAAAATATAAATAATTAAAATTAAACTCATCTACATTGATAAATTATCATATACAAGACAAAAATTTTAAAATAAGGAAACTTATTTTTGATATTTTTGTTTTTTATTAATATTAGTTTTTGTATTTCAAATTTTTTTCTTTGAACTAGATCCTATAACTTTTATGAACAAAATTCTTCATAATAAATAATTAAATATCTCAACTAAAAAAGATGACAAGATTTATAAGTTTAACCAAGCTTGCATCTAGTTTGAGTTTATGAGTTAATTAACATAATTTTATAAGTTAGAAATATAAAAAGGTAAATTTGAAGGTAAACTCGCAAGTTTAATCCAGTTTATATTTAATCTGAGTTTATAAGTGAGTTGATACGATTTTATAAGTTAAAAACGTAAAAACTTTAAACTCAAAGAGTCAATTTAAGAGTTTAACAACTATGCTTTAGAGTATGTAAAACATTTTGTCCAAAATGGATTAAATATTAATCTAAGTTGCCGTTTTTTATTTTATTGCTTAATTTCCATGCCACATGAACCACGAAACTTAGTATGTTTGAAAACAAAGAAGCATCAAACACGAAATATAATCAATATTATACTTGTAGAAAATAACAAGTCACAAGTGATTTTACGTACGAACTACAAGGCGAATCTAATGAAAAGAATCTACTCTCATAAACAACTCCTAGTGTTCCCTAGAAGACAAAAAATTAGTTGTTCAAAACGTTATTCTAAAAAATATACCATTCAAGACAATAATGCTTTTTTTTTTTTTGAGAAAAAAATTAGCATAGGCTTTAGTTCCTACATTGATGACGCGAGTTTTCTTCAAGTCCACAACGCAAAGGTTGTTTCGTGAATGGAAAATATTATAGAAATTACCTAATTAAAAAAATAAGAAAATAATTGAAAAAATTAATCTCAAGTCGCACTCAAATAATCTAAATACATGAAAGTCCCATGAAATTACAAAATCTCCTTTCTTTGTAATTTGCTTCAGAACTACAGTGTCATCCGATGCAATTATTTTTTTACTTTTTTATAAATTAAAATTGCTTATAACAATTTAATTTTTGATAACATAAATTAAAATTAAAATTATATTTTATGTTATGGTTTTCAAAAAAATTAAACTTTACTCCTCCATTTAAAAATGTAGGGTATTTTTTGAGAAGTTAGATGTTAAAAAAATGTAAGGTCTTTTTAGTGTTTTAAAGTGTAATTCATGTGTTTTGTCAAAAGTATCCATAATAACAAAGTATTTTATGTTTATTTTAAAATAAAATACCCTATTAAATATTCTCTCTTGTCCTATTTATAGGGCAAAGAAAAAAAATTTATATCCTATTTATAAGTTACCTCATTAAATTTTCATCATAATTTTTTTTCATTTAACCTTTATTGAATGTAGGAGAGGGAAAATATATTATAAATTTCTCAGAAAAGTTAACAAGTTTTAAAGTTTATTTTTTTGGTTCTGGTTAAATATGTTGAAAGTGTCTTATACAAAGTTAATAAATTTTAAGATTTTTTTAATTTTAGTAAAATATATTGGGAGTATCTTATAAATAAGACCAGAGGAATAAGGGTAAATATAGAAAGAGGTGTTAGCTTGAATTGACTACTTTATTTGGGTCAAGATTCAATTGAAAATATCTTACATTTTTAAAATAAATTGTGTGAAGATAAAATAAATTATTATTTATATTTGTATACTCTAATGGATGTAAAAAACTTCTTATATTGTACTAGGAATAAAAAAAATATAATTAATAGAAGTTGCTAAAGAAATTAAAAAATATAGTTATGTTTACTTTTCCTTTCTTAAAGCAATTAAAAAAAATTATATTTTACTCTTCTTTCCTCTATTTTTTTTTAACAATGTGGATCAATGTTCCCGTGCATCACGTACAGGGTCTAAAATCTAGTTATTCTGAAATTACATGTCTTTTTATCGTTGTTGTCAATTTATTATAAAAAAACTTATATACCTAATCTTATATTTATTAATATGCTTATTTTTAATTAAATCAAAAACACATATGTCATTTATAAATTATTTATTCTATAATAACTTGTTATTAGTATTATTAATGCATTAAATTTCACTTATTTTGATTTGATTGAATAAAAATACATTAAATATATGGATTTAAGTATATAAGTATTGCCCTTTATTATATTGAATTGAAGTTGTCAATATAAGATTTAAATCCTCTTGAAGTTGATATCTTTGAATTTTTGTGAAGTTTTCCTTTTTTGCTACTTCTATTTTATTATTTTTATAAAGTTTTAAATATTCCCTTGCTTCTTTAAAAAGGTAAATTTCACATAAATTCACATATCTCAACTTTGAAAAATTTGGATCTGTCAATATATTGTTAGATATTTGTTGGTGGAATTCAGATATTCTAACAATATATTGACGGATTATCTAATAGTAATTGTCAATTGACAACAATTGTTAGATATTGTAATAATAAACAATTATCTAATAGTAATTGACAACTTCAATTAAACAATCATGAGTTTAGACTAATTTTGCGGTTTTATGAAACTTTTTTATATTTAGATTATTTCTGGGAAGATGAGATTAATTTTCCAAAAATAATTTAGATGTTAGAGTACGTAAAATATTTTGTTCAAAGTGGGTTAACTATTAATCGAAATTCCCGCTGTCTTTATTATTGCTTAATTTATTCCTTGTAACATGACCAAAACAATTCATGTGAGCAAGGTTGTTAAACTCGCGAGTTTAAATAAACTCATAACAGAAATATAAACTTATATCATAAATTTAAATTATAAACTCATAAAAGTTTACCTCTATTAATAAATAATCATTAAAATATGACTGTAATTTAATTTAAATATATTAAAAATATAAATAATTAAAATTAAACCTATCTACATTGATAAATTATTATATACAAGACATAAAAATTTTAAAATAGGGAAGCTTATTTTTTATTTTTCCTCTTTTATTAATATTAGTTTTTGCATTTCAAGTTTTTTTTCTTTGAACTAGGTCCTATAGCTTTTATGAACTAAATTCTTCATAGTATGTGCTTAACTTGCTTAACTCAAAAAAAAAATTAATGAACTTAACAAGTTTGTATTTAGTTCAAGTTAATAAATTAGTTGACACGATTTTGAAAGTTAGAAACATAAAAATAATAAACTTAGAGATAAACTCGCAAGTTTGACTAAGTTTGTATCTAATTTAAGCTTATGAGTGAGTTGACATGATTTTAGAAGCTAGACGTAAAAATATTAAACTCATAGAGTCAACTTAAAAGTTTGACAACTATGCATATGAGAGCATGAAAATCAGTATGCTATTTAAAAATTAAGGAGCATCAAACACGAAATATAGCCAACGTTATACTTTAAGAAAATGACGGACAACAAGTGATTTTATATAAGAAGCAAACCTAATTCAAAAGAATCTACTCCCGTAAACTACTCCTAGTGTTTCCTAAATTATGAAAAAGTAGTTGTTCGAAACATTATTTTAAAAAGATATCATTCAAGACAATAATGCTCATTGGCCTGAAAAAAAAAATACATAGAATAATTCTCCATTTTTTCTCTTGTAATTAGCGTAGGCTTTGGTTCCTGCATTAACGTGTTCTTATCTTCAATTCCATAACGCCAAGGTTGCTAGTGAATGGAAAATATTACAGACATTAAGCAAATAAGAATATATTTTGGATAAAATCACTCTCAAATCACAAACAATCTAAATACATAAAAATTCCATGAAATTATATAATTACTATGAAATTTTATTATATCTTTTATTAAAATTGTCAATTACTATTGTATAGTTATTAATGGAGTTGTTTATCGCTTGATAACTAGCTAGGTAGCAATAATTAATAACTACCATCTACGATAATTGACGACTTAAATAAATAGCATATGAAACTTTAGAGTAATTTGTAATTTCATGAAACTTTTCTATATTGAAACTACTTGTGTGAAATGTAAAACAGATTTTTCTAAATTATATTTAGACGTTAGATTACGTAAAATATTTTGTTCAAACTGGGTTAAGTATTAATCGAAGTTCCCGCTATCTTTATTATTGCTTGATTTCCTTGTAACATCATCCGTGTTAACTACTGGGGCCTCAACAAGGTGTGATCATCATTGTAACCTCTGTGTAGGCTCGGAATACAACTAGTGATGAGCCAAGGCAAGCCAAAATTATTAGAGGAAGTATATTTTAATTAATTAGCATGCTAATTAATTAAAAGAGGATCATCATACAATGTTATAATGAATGATACTACTCCATTTTTAAATATAAGAGAAAAATAACCAACTCTCCATTTTCATGCTTTGCTTTCCGCTCCTTACATGCCCTTGGCTGGATTGAAGATTTAAATCAAATGGTTAAAATGTTAACTTGAAATAAAAGTAAGTTATATTTTCTGCGAAATTCAACTAATTAAAATAAAATTTTGCGTATTTTTTCTGAACAATATACAAGTGTGTGTGTGTGTGTGTGTGTGTGTGTGTGTGTGTGTGTGTGTGTTTTTATCACTTTCATTCCCTCCGTGGCTCTGTGGAATGAATATGAGAGAATATACTCTTTATTTAAATATCAATTGGCATTCCTTGAACCCTTCCACGCGGCCAAAGCAACAAAATATTTGGTTGGTCAAGTCAAATTGCTTTGTCATGTACAAACCAGAGTTCCAATATCAGGTTATATGCTTCCTTGTAATGAAAGATAATTAAACATTATTTTCCAAAGAATACTAAAGACGACATGTTCTATATAAATATCACTCACTGGGGGACGATCCCTTCTCATCAAACCATATCGATCTTGACTGATCATGGATTCCTCCTTCCCCTCTTATGTTACGGATATTTTACCGCCATGCCTGCTAATATTTGCAATCATGCTCCCCAAAGGCATGTGTGCTTTGAGAGTGCATTGTAATGAAAAAGACCACAGCCTTCTCTTAAACTTCAAACACACTGTTACTGATCGATCTCACATCCTCTCTAGTTGGTCTCACGAGCAACATTGCTGCGAATGGGTTGGAGTTCAATGTGACAACATCACTGGTAGAGTTACAGAGCTTAGTCTCCCTTGTTCTCCTGAACTCTCTGCTAATACTTGTGAGTATGACAAAGTAAACTGTCTGGCAGGTGAACTTCACTTATCTTCGCTTCAACTTGAATTTCTGAATTACTTGGATTTGAGCAATCATGACTTCCAAGCTGTCACCCTCAATGATTGTCCTCATTCATGTGAAAATATTAATTCTTCCAATCTTCTTTATCTTGATTTATCATATAATGAGGATCTCCATTTTGATCATCTTCATTGGCTTTCTTTTTTTCCCTCCTTGGAACATGTTAACCTTAGTGGCATTAATCTTCAAGGAAAAGTTGACTGGATTCAACTACCAACTCTGCTTCGTTCAATCAAAGAGTTACGCTTTGATAGCTGTCAACTTAGAAACATCAATCCATTTCTCCAGTATGTCAATCTTACTTCACTTGAATTCATTGGCCTTTCTGATAACAGCTTTAGCTCTCTCTTGCCTGTTTGGTTATTCAATCTTAGTGATCTCACTTTTATTGACTTGAGCTATAATAATTTTCAAGACCAGTTCCCAAAGGGGTTACTAAACCTTCAAAAATTACAAACCTTGTATTTAAAGCACAACAAACTCTTCGGATCCATTCCAGTTTGGTTAGGCCAACTTGAACATCTACAAGAAGTTGATGTTACTGAAAATTTATTTTCTGGTCCTATTCCCTCAACTTTGGGAAATTTAACATCCTTGACTCACCTTCATGTCTCCTCAAATCATTTAGAGGGTAGTCTTCCAGAAAGTCTTGGGCAACTCTTGAACTTGGGCGTATTAGAATTTGATGATAATCACTTAACAGGCCATGTCTGTGAAAGAAATTTTGCCAATCTCTCAAAGCTGACTGTTCTATCCATGGGATCTCCAGGCTTGATCTTTGAATTTGACTCTCTTTGGATTCCTCCTTTTCAACTTGAACAAGTTGGTTTGTCATACATGGTGGGTCCTAACCTTCCTACATGGCTATATACCCAAACATCTCTTGCGTTATTACAAATTACTTACTCAAGCTTTTCATTGGAATCCCAAGACAAATTTTGGGACCTTGTGGCCCAAGTGCCACGCTTGTAATTAACGTACAACACAATTGTTGCGGACATCTCTAATGTGTTACTGAACTCTACAGACGTAAGGTTATATTCAAATCAAATCCGAGGAACCCTCCCTCGATTGTCACCCAATGTTGTCTGGTTCAATGCCAAAAACAACTCTTTCCATGGATCCCTTTCTCCATTATTATGTCAAAACATGAATGAAAGAAGCCAGTTAATATATTTGGTCTTGTCTGATAATTTTTTGTCGGGTGAGCTAACAGATTGTTGGACGAATTGGAAATCGTTAGCTATTATTAGTCTCAGCAACAATAATCTAGCAGGAACAATCCCCAGATCATTGAGCTTTTTGTCAAATCTTACAGTTTTGCATCTCAACAAAAATAACTTACTTGGGGAGTTACCTTTATCATTGAAAAATTGCCAGAACCTGCAAGACCTTGATGTTGGAGAAAATAAATTATCAGGGTACATACCATATTGGATAGGACATAATGCAAGGGTTCTCCGATTAAGATCCAATCAATTTAGTGGAACTATTCCCCCACAAATTTGCCAATTAACTACACTCATAGTATTGGATTTTGCGGAGAACAACATATTTGGTTCAATACCGCCTCGCCTACATAATATGAAAGCCATGGCATTCCCTCGTTCTTCAGAGCCTTCTAGCATTTGCATCACAAGTCAAGGCGTTGTTTACAAAATCATTGACAGTGCTATGTTGCATATAAAAGGCCAAGAATGGTTCTATGAAGGAAACTTGAGATTGATGCGTAGTATTGATCTATCCAGTAACAACTTATCTGGAATGATACCTCCAGATCTATACAGCCTCTTTGAATTGCTTGCTTTGAACTTGTCTCATAATCGATTTGAAGGGAACATACCAAAAGAGATTGGCAACTTGAAACAGTTGGAGTCTCTTGATCTTGCAAACAATCTACTTTCAGGTGAAATTCCTCAAAGTATAGCTCAATTGTCTTTCTTGGAAGTCTTGGACCTTTCTTTCAATAATTTCTCAGGAAAGATCCCATTAGGGACCCAACTTCAAGGGTTTGCTGCACAAAGTTATACTGGAAATCCAGAACTATGCGGAGTTCCACTGCCAAAGAATTGTGCAGATCAAAATGACATGAAACCTGTTGAAGAAAATGACAATCAAGAAAATGAATTTCTGCCTTCATTCTACATGGGGCTGGGAGTGGGATTTGCCATAGCTTTTTGGGGAGTCTGTGGTGCCATTTTTTTCAATAGGAATTTCAGGTGTACTTACTTCAGATTCTTCTATCACATCAGAGACAAGCTTTATGTGTTGATGGTCCTCAAGATGAATCGTTTCCGTTGAAAGTCTTGTTGGCATTTTGGTGAGTGAACAAAAACTACTCATTTATGTTTTAACTAAGCTTTTTTTTAGAAGAAAAATATAATGTTGATTGTTTTTGTAATAACCCATATTATAATAATAAAGCTAGATTAAATAATAAGATAATTTTATTGTATTTTTAAAAATTTTCTTATAATAACAACAACAACATGCATTGGTGGTTTTGTGAAAATTTTGTTGGTTCTTATTATTAAAGTTTTGCACTAGAGATTTTTATTTTTATTTTTATTTTTATTTTTCTTCTGTTATTGGAAACTACCATTTTGCCCCTTAAAAAAAAGAAGAAAGAAATGAAAAAAAAATGAAATGGCAGATATATATCAGGCTTCCTCCTCGCCTCTGTTTTTTCGAAAATTCTAGACCAGCCAAGAGAGGGAGAACGAGAGCGAGCGAGCGAGCTCAGACCTTCCTGTCTCGACTTTCCTCTGTTTCTTCCGCCGCCTACTGTCATCGCCGGTGACTGTGAGTGAACTTTCCTCCCCCTCCTTTACTGTGTTGCTATGTGTAAATGTCAGAGTTCATTTTTCCTAATGCGCGTCACTGGTGCTTGCTGCCATAGAGGTTTTGTCAATTCTGCTTTCGTCCTTCATTCTCCTCTGTTAGTTTCGGCTACGTGTTTCTATATCATGCGGTGGGAGTGATTTTTGTCATGGTTAGAGGTTCAGTTTGCTAGTTCTCCCATTTCCCTGTGCGCGACAGTGAGCAGCTCTCTTTCCCCTGTTCTCGACATTTTTCTGGTTGGAGGGAACTTTGAGTTTCTTATTCCATATCTGCCATGGTGGACCTGAGGTGAAGATCTTTGAATCCTTATTTTTCTTCTTTTCTATCTGGTTGAATTTGGTGATTGAGAGAAGCTTCGAACTCAAGACCCCTGTTATTCTCCATCCTTTTCGTTCTCCTTCCCTGTTGTTTTGTCCGTCGAAAATATCCAAGTTTGCCGTGGATTCACCGCTGATGAGGCTGGAGTCATGATCCTGTGCTTCTCTTTCTCCTCTGTTCATGTGCGCTGTGGGATGCTGTCATCGAAGCCTCTCCTTCATCATCTTCCCCTGTTTCGAGGCTGTTCTGGTGACAGGGGCTTTGACTCCTCCTGATCGTTTCTCTTTGCTTCATTGGTGAGCTAAGTTCTATCCTCTCTTCCCCTATCATCGAATCTATGTGTGTGTTGTGAATAGGTAGGAAGTTCGGTCTTTGATTAAATCTTTTCTGCCTTCTACGTGTCTATATGTAATGAACTGGAATTGCTTTGCTTTAATTGCTGTTGGACGTTGAATAAAAGGGAAATTTAGGGCTTCCTTTTTGTTAGTTTTGAGGAATACATAAGAAGTTTGATGATGTGGTTTGAATGTTAATGCTATTAAGGTGTTCATGAAAATGTGTAGAAAGGTTGAAATGGAGTAATTAAGTATGTTACAAGGTTTAAAATCTAATACTATGGATTTAGGTTCTGTGGTATGAATTTTAATTTGTTCTTGATAAAGAAACGTGTTTAGGAGGCATAGAGAATTTGTTTGTATGTTTGGATTTTTGTTAAGAGATTTAAAAAGTACTTGGCTAATATTTCAAAGATCAAGTTTGTTTGTTCTTATGGTAACTTTTGTGTGCTTGTGAAATGTTTGATAGAATGTGTGATGAGGGAAGTTTATGAAAATTAGACATACATGAGTGATAGGTAATGCTGATTAAATCACATGAGTAGTCTATTTTCTATATGAAGACTTGAAAATTTTAAGTACTATCTATATATGTGTTTATTGAAGATTTATTAATTAAACTTAATACGGGTTTTTATTTGTGAAATGTCGATGTCGATGTTATCCTTTCCCATTCTTTAAATTTGTTTGTATTGAAGATTTTGAATTTATGAAGTGAATAAAGGAGATAACAAAAATGATCGTTTGGGCGCTAGGGAAATAAGGTGCAGACCATATCACAAAAGGGGTTAATTAGGAGCAAGTTATATGTTTCAAAATGTCTCAAGTAAGTGGATAACGTTCCAACTGATATTTCATTGAAATTTCTTTTATTCGAATATTACATTTTTATGCAAATTATTTTTACGACAATAATGTGATTATGAGACATTTTGTTGATTAAATTACTTTATTTTGTGAAATTATCTTACCATAATTGATCATTTTAGTTAATCAGTAAATAGAAGTTTGAATTCTAATTGTGGAATTTTATTTTTCTGGAAATTATTTTTATAGCATTAATGCGATTATTGAATATTTGTTCATTAACATTACTCTATTTTGATAAATTAGCTTTACCAAATTTAAAATGTTATTTGATCAATGAAATTAAGTTTGAACTTTGACTATGATATTTTTATTCTATTAAACATTGGAGAGATACAGAAAATGACTTATGCGAGTTTGAAGTTGAAATTTTTTCAATAAATGCAAGCATGAGCATTGGATATAAAATTTAATTCTGAAAAGTTTTAATGCTTAAAAGTATTCATGCGAATTTGATATTGAGAAGAGAAAATTTTATTTTAAAAGTGATGATTTTCTCGCATGTTTGAAAAAAATGAATTTTAAGGGGACTTTATACAGAACACTGGTTGCTAACGGCAGTTCCGTTAGCCCTTGGCGCGCCATGGTACACCTAGCTAGCAGGGTGTGTATAGGAGGTGCTAGCCCCGTGCGATGGCCAACGCATGTGGAACGGAGGGATGGTTATTCGTGAGCATCGTACTCACGTTTGTTTCGTGGCTTCGGCTGCGTTTGGATACTTACCCTCGTGGATTGTGTGTCCACGTTTGTATTCGTGGCATAAGCCGCGTTCGGTTATTTACCTTCGTGGATTGTGTGTCCATGTTTGTCTATCGTTCTAATAAGTCCCTAAAAATTTGTGAATTTGACTATTTGGTGATTTTATATTTCATTGGTTTTTATTTAGTAAATTATTTACAAGTATTTATTTCATTTATGTGACTTCTTAAAAATCAAGTGATATTACCATTTGCTATGTTAGTTCAATGATTCAAGATTTTATTCAAAATTTTATAGAATCATTTTATTTTGAAGTTTATACATTTTTTATGGAAATTTTTGTTTCATTAACTTACATATCTATTTTGAATTTTTTATTTTATTTATATTCAATTATTTATTGTTGGGACGTTATTCACTGGAAAATATATTTTTGGCCTCAGGTAGCATAAATTGAACTTGTATATCAAAGTGTTACTTGAGACATTCTATCACTAAAGTGGAGTGGAAGAATTATTTCAAACAAGTTTTACTTGATGAAAATTTGAACCCTGTATTCATTTCAGGGAATGGTCCTAACTGCTCCATGTATAATGTAGGTAGGATTCTCATCTTTCTTAAAAGATTGTATATATGTTAGTACGGAGCGAGATCCTTTATTTTGATTATTATTGTTCTTTGTCATTCATTTCAGGAAGTCTTATTTACATGAAAGTTCTATTAAAAATTTTATAAATAATAATAATAATAATAATAATAGCAAAAATCATATGCCTGTAGTTTGGCATGGATGAAAGTATATTTGTTCAAGGCTTAAGGGATATGGGTTTTACACACATATTCCGTGCCGGTCATGCCTTAAATTTTTGGGGCGTGACAGTTTTAATTTTTTTCCCATAAATATTTACATTATAAAATAACTATGTTAAGAAGACATACTCTAGATCCTGTACTTATAATATTTTGGAGTTTTAGTGCCCTTGAAATTAATTATTCGTAATGTGTGTGTGTATATATATATATATATATATAATGCAGCAGGTTATTGTTATGCATATTTTAATAGGTCACCTCGAGTCTTGATAACGAACTCTGCAAAGGAGGACGAAGTGGTGTTACGTTATCGAAGAGATGCATATTACAAGTGAAGATGTCAATCTTTTACTTACTTTCTGAGTTAGTTTTGACTCGCTTCAATAATTATTTTGTACTCTAGATTGTAGTTCATGGGTTTTGTAATGATTTAAACTTGTAGAATTTGACGGATTTTATATAATGATTTCAGTAATTTTTTGTAATACACTCTGTGTAAATATATTGATTTAATTTCTTAAAATCCATTGTCATTATTCATTAGTCATGGTTGGTTCTGTATACATTGTTTTTCATTCGCCTATTGTGTGGATATAGGAAGCGTACTCCACTTTTTCAACCAAAAGACCATTTTAGTCACTGGATCCACTGGTTTCTTAGCCAAAGTTCGTATTCTCTCTCTCTCTCTAGATATATATATATATATATATATCTTGTAACATAATTGGTCCATACACAAGCATGATCTGTGCATGTGTGTGTTTGCTTATATATATTTGTGTGCAGTCAATCAGATGTGAAGAAAGTGTATCTTCTTATCAGAGCATCAGATGGCAATGCAGCAGCACAATGTTTCCGTAATGACGTACGTCAAATAATCTTCAAGTTCTTCGTCCATATATATCAGAAAGCCATTTGTAGTGTACATATATGGCTAATTAATATGCATGTATATGTTATTGAGGATAAATAGATCATAGCAAAGCAAAGGATTTGTTCAACGTTCTGCGAGAGCAGCTGGGGGAAGATTTTGATTCGTTCATATCAGAGAAGGCAGCTGCAGTTGCAGGTGACGTCTCTGTCGTGAACTTGGGCCTCAAGGATGCAAATCTTCAAAACCTGTTGGACGAAATACAAGTTATTGTCAACTTGGCTGCAATTAAGTACCAAATTTTATGAACGGTAACTTCCTTAATTATGACAATCTAGTAATTAGAAAATGACGGCAACTTCCTCCTGACAATCCAGTGATTAAAATATGTTGGGTTGTCTATGAATGTATGAGTGAATTTAAGATAATGTAAGAAGTCTTACATTAAATAATAAAGTTAAGTTTAATAATTAATACTCTTTCCATACATTAAAAAATGTAAGACAATTGATTTTTTTATTAGAAGACGAAATTCAATTAAAAATGTCTTACATTTT